CCCATTCATGGATAATAAAGGCCATTATAAACTTATGAAGAATAATATATACATAGGGAGAGCTGCCTCAAACAGATTGTCAAACTGCAGCGGGAAGTCTGGGGAGGGTTGGGGGGCAGGAGGGAGGGAGATAAGAGATCAACCGAAGGACTTGTATGCACATATATGAGCATAACCAATGGACATAAGACACTGGGGAGTAGGGGAGGCCAGGGGATTGTCAAGGGTGGGGATAAAAAAGGACACATATGTAATACCCTTTGTAATACTTTAAGCAATTTAAAAAAAAGGAAAGAAAACACGTTTATAATGGAAAAAAAGAATAATTGAAAGAAAAAAAAAGATTCTCTGTTTGTCCTGTACATTTGCCATGGTAATTATGATGTGTCTTGGTGTGGGTCTTTTCAGTTCACCTTGCTTGGGACTCTCTGCTCTTGTGTGACTTTTTTCTTCCCCACCTCAGGTAAGTTTTCTGATATTATTTCTTCAAATAGGTTTTCTAATCCTTGTTCCTCTTTCTGTTGTTCTGGCACCTCTATTATTCATATGTTGTTTCGTTTCATGTTGTCCCATAGCTCCCTTACGCTCTCCTCCTGTCTTTTAATTTTTTTCTCCAATTGCAGTTCTGTTTGGGTGTGTTTTGCTTCCCTGTCTTCTAATTCGCTAATTCAGTCCGCTGCTTCTCCTAGTCTACTGTTGAAACTTTCAATGCTGTTTTTTATTGCAGCTATATCACTCTTCATTTCTTCTTTGTGCGTACCTAAGTTATTGATTTTTTCATCTGTTTCTTTTTGCTTCTTGCATAAGTTGTTGATTTTTTCCTCCTTCCAGTTTATGCACTCTAGGATCCTTATTCTGAATTCTTTTTCTGTCATGTTGCATTCCTCTGTATCACTTAGCTGCTTTACTGGTGAGTCCTCCTTTTCTTTCCTTTGCAGGCTTATTTGTCTACCCATGTTTGATCTCACCGACATATCTAGATGTTGAGTCATTCTGTGGCTGCTCCCTGGGTGGCAGTGGCTCCTCAGGCTGTGGTTGCTCCTCGAGCAGATGTGGTAGCAGGTGTTCCTCAGTTTGTAGCAGCTCCTCTGGTAGGTGCTGTTCACAGCTGTGGTGGCTCTTCTGGCTGGTGAGGGGAGGCTTCACACACAGCTGCTGTTTTTCAGACAGAGGGTGTGGTGATCAGGAGGCTGCTGTTGCTTGGATCTGCTTTCCATGGGGAGAAGCAGGGTTCCTCTAAGTTCACGTAGTCGCGCTGCTTGTGTTCTGTTGTTTCCAGGTTAGTAGCCATTCTCTGGATCTCTGGCTTATTTTTTAAAAAAATTAATTTACTTTAATTTTCTCCATCAACATTTATTCCCTCTATACCCTCTTTTATCTCCCCCACTCCCTCCTTTTCATTCTTTTTATAATGGGTCACTTTTTTTGTATCCTGGACATTTTGAGTATTAAGAGACTGATTCCTACATAAATTTTTTATTTTAGCCAGCACTCACCCTGTTCAGGTATAGCGCACAGGTCCTGGCTGACTCTTGTGGACTGTGGTCTAATGGCATTATGATTTTCCGAGCCTTGGTGGTGGGATTTTGGTCTACCTGATTAATCTCAGTTGTGAGTCTTCCACTGGTCCCAGCTGATTCTGTTTTATCGGGTGGAAGGGGCTTCCACATGTTTGTTTGTAGGTAGGGGAAAGGAGTCTCCTTCTTTTGGTAAAAAACAAACAAACAAAAACATACTTTCTAGGCTGAGCATTTTTTGTAGTGATTACCTACTGCCTTTGGAGAACAAAGAGATTTTCCTGAATTAGAGCCATATTTTTGGGTGTGGTCTCTTGCAGATGACTCTCCCACCCCAAAATCAGTGTCCCTGGATAGATTAGAGGAGCAAGGTCTGGTGGGGAAAGAGAGTGCTTCCCTGGCTGAGGCTCCTTTTTATGCCATTATACCCTGTGTTTTTCCCCTTAGTTATGCAGTGTCTCTAAGTGGGAAAAGGAAATGTCATGATCTGCAGGAAAGTAGAGCATTTCTTTTGTTGACATTTGTGGTAGGATCACCTTTTCTGGTGCCCACACTCTCTGGTCTTTGTGTGGAAGAGGAGTCTTTGTGTGTCTTTGAAAAGAGAAGGGGTATCTCAGGTCCAGCAAGTAGAAATAACATTTATTTCTTCTCAGTAAGAGAACAATACCTTATTGTTAACAGGACTCCCAGTTGATTCCCCTTGCCTGATTTGTTAGGGGAGAATCACTTTTGATCTGGAGAAGGAACATACCAACCTGGACCATTTTCTATTGCTAGGTTTGGGGGTAAAGCAATGCCAGGCCTGGGTCACCTTCTTCTGTTGGGTAAAGGTAATAAGATACCCTGATGATTTGTTTCATTTATTTCTAGGATCCCTAATTAGATATTCTTCTTTCCATCTTTTAGCATTCTCTTTGCATTGTCTCAAGTTATTTCATGAATTTATAGTTGTATGTAGTTGGAAAGAGCAGAAAAAGACAGGTTTATGCCATCAACTTGTCAGGATTGGAAATCTCAATTCAAGGAGTTTTGGCAATTACATAAAGCTAGGTGGCTACTATCATAATTCCATACAGACCAGTTCCATCATCATAAAAATCCTCTCATATTGCACCTGTGAAATCAGCTTCCTCTTCAATCCTAAATTCTGACAGCCACTGATGATTTCCATCTCTATAATTTTCTTTTCTAGAAGATCATGTAAAGGAATCTTCCAATAAGTAGCCTTTTGGATCTGGTATTTTTCACCTAGCAAAATGAGTTTAATATTCATTAACTTTTGGATAGCATTGCATTATATGGATGTATCACAGTGTGTTTCTTCATTTCAGATGAGCTGTATTGTTGTTGGGATTACATGACCAGTTCTTGAGAATGACATACTGGTTCTTTATGCTCCTTTTAGTCATGATTTAGACATTTCTTCAGTATTCTGAGTCCTTCAGCTAGGCAAAGCTGTCTTCCAATCCATAGGCAGGACCGGATTAGAAATTGCAGTTGAGGAAATTATGTCCAAAAGGTTAAATAACCTGTCCATAGTTACACAGAAAGTTAGTTGAAGAGCCAGGATGTAAATCCCAGATTTTTTTATTCCAGGTGCAGTACTAGAAAAATGCCGAGGAGAATAATAAATATGACTAAAAAGCTGAAATAGGCCCTTAAAGAGACTAAGTATTGAAGTTTTGGCCTGAAAAAGAGAAGGCTTAGAAAATATTTTGGAAATTGTCTTTGATCATGTAAAGAATTCACAATTGAGGCTCAATGAGTACCAGATAGTTTTTATAGATCAATGGGAGAGTGCTCAGTTAGGTCTAAGATGTAAAATGGAGGCCTGGGATTATTTTGCCTTTTTAAGTTGGTTGGAGCAAAGCAAGAATCTATCTATATCTAATCTATATCTAATTTACATCTAATCTATATCTAATCTATATATATATTTATATCTATATCTATAAATATATCTATCTATATCTATATCTATATCTATATCTATATCTGTATCTGTATCTGTATCTATACCTATACCTATACCTATATCTATATCTACATCTATATCTATCTATACAGGTAATATGCAAATCGCCAGTTCCAGAAAGCTACATCAGGACTGCTCAGGAAGAGCTGCCCGCAGATGGGCAGGAGGGGACTGCATGCCGCCCCCAGCCCCAGTGGACACACACATACCAGGGGCGGGTGCATGCTCCAGCAGCAGCAGCAGCTCAGAGCATACCCCTGGTGGGTGGCGGCAGCTGCTGGAGCAGCTGGAGTGAAGCAGCCCGGATCCCAGATGCCTGGCAGCAGCCAGAGTGAAGCAGCCCACGTCCTGGGTGCCAGCAGCCAGGGAAAGAAGACCTATTCTTGCACGAATCTTCCTGCATCAGGCTTCTGGTATGTTATAGAAACACACTCAATTCCAGGCTATGGACTAGGAGCTAGAGTGATCCTAAAGATCTGTCTGTGCCTAAATGCTGCAACGTATCTGGTTTACTATGAAAATTCCAGAAGACTGCACTATCCTTCCCAGGAGTATGCCCTCACCTTTTCCTTTTCCTTCTTCTTCCTCCACAAACCCAAATCTCCTAAACTCTAAAAGACACCAGGAGACTTGCAACCAAGGGAACAATGCGCAGCTACTCCCAGGCTACCCCTTGAACCTATCTCCAAGGCCCCCTTTTCTGTGGCCCTCCAGTGAATTGACAGCAGACTCACCTTGGCTCACTTCTTTCCCATAGTTTCTAGAAACCAAAGCAGGCCCACTTAGTCTCTCTCCTGTTGCTTCGTCTATCCTAGCCCCTTCCTTGTTTACTGTCCCCAGTTTTAATAAGTGTCCTCTAAAGAAAAAAAAGTTTTAGAAGAGACATGCATGTTTCCATTGACCCACAACTGTGTTTAAAATCAGTGGTACCGAAAATGCCAGGGATAGAAGGAATCTTAAAGATTACCTAGTTTCATTCATTTATTTTTGTTTTTATGTCCCTTGCCTTTGGGGTCAAATTAATAAAACCCTCTGTAAGACCAAGATCCATAGTTTAGTACCCATGTTTTCTCCTATGCAATTTATTGTTTCAGGTCTTATATTTTTTATCAATTTTGAATTAATTTTTGTATATGGGAACAAACAGTAGAGTTTCATCCTTTTGCATGTGGCTTTCCAATTTTCTCAGCACCATTTATTAAAGAGGTATTATTTTCTCCATTGTATGTTTTTGGCTGCTTTGTCAAAAATTATTTGCCCATATCTATAATGGCTTATTTATGGGATCTCAATGCTATTCCACTGGTCTATGTGCTTGTTTTCCTGCTGGTACCATACTGTTATGATTATTGTAGCCTTGTAGTATAATTTGAAGTTAGGGAGTGTGATACTCTTGGTTTTATTCTTTTCTCTCAGGATTTCTTTGAGTTCGTTTGTGCTTCCTTAAAAATTTGGTTAATTTTTGTTCTATGGCTTTGGAAAATGTCGTGGGATTTTAATGTGGATTACATTAAATCTGCATATTACTTTAGGTGGTATAGCCATTTTAACTATGTTTATTTTTCTAAGTCATAAATATGGAATATATTTCCACTTCTTTGTGCCTTCTTCGATTTCTGTCAACAATGTTTTAAAGTTTTCATTGTGTAGAACTTTCACACATTTTAAGTTTATTAATAGGTATTTTATTCTTTTTGTTGCATTTCAAAAGAAATTTTTTTTCATTTATTTTTCTGAAATTTCATTGTTAGCATATATAGAAGTAAAAGTAGATAAATGGGACTACATCAAACTAAAAAGTTTCTGCACAGCAAAAGAAATTGCCAACAAAACAAAAAGACAACCAGCCAAATGGGAGAAGATATTTTTAAATAACAGCTCCCATGGGGGGGGGGTAATATCCAAAATTTATAAAAAACTCATAAAACTCAACACCTCAAAAAACTCAACCTAATATTGGATTATAAAATGGGCAGAGGACCTGAACAGACACTTTTTCCAAGAAGGCATACAAATAGCCAACAGATATATGAAAATATACTCAACTTCACCAGCTAATAGGAAAATTCATATCAGCACTGCAATGAGGTACCAACTCACACATGTTAGAGTGGCTTTTATCAACAAGACAAGTGATAACAAGTGTTGGAGAGGTTGCAGAGAAAAATAAACCTTCATTCAGTGCTGGTGGGAATGTAAACTGGTACAACCACTATGGAAAACAATATGGCAGTTATTCAAAACATTAATAATAAAGTTCCCTTAGGACCCACAATCCCTCTTCTGGTACCTAAACCAAAACATTAAAACTTTTATTTGCAAAGATATATGCACACCTATGTTCATTGCAGCATTTTTCATGGTGGCCAAGTCATGGAAACAACCAAAATGTCCTTCAATAGATGCTTGAATAAAGAAGATATGATATATATATATATATATATATAAAATAAAATTGAAAGTAACAAATGAACAAATAATATAAACAAACAAAACCTCATAGACACAGACAATAATATGGTGCTTATCAGAGGGAAAGGTGATAGAGGGTAATAAGGGATCAAGTACATGGTGATGGAAGATTTGACTTTGGGTGGTGAACACTCAATGTGATATACAGATCATAGAAATGTACACCTGAAACCTATATAATTTTATTAATCAATGTTACCTCCAATAAATTTAATTTTTAAAAAAGAGAAAAAAGATCATATAGTCCCACCTCCGTACTTCAAGGATAAGGAAAATAAGTCCAAGTGAAGGAAAATGACTTACACATGATCAAATGGGAAAAGTGGAAGCAAGATCTATTTTTCAAGTATCCCTATTAACGTTTTGAATTTCATCTTTTGTAGACTCATCCATTTGCTAATCACTTCATTAAACAAATGTTTACTGACCAATATCTGCAAATGTCTTGGATTTCTTTAAGCTTCACCATCTTGTGGTATTAAAGATTGATTCATGAAAAAAATATACATCTAACTAGTTTTGTACCCACATAACTAAATAAGACCCTAACTCTTGGCAATCTAACTTTAAATATTTCCAGGACTTTCACATATTTCACATGTATTTATGTCAACCCTTTTTTTTTCACTACCTCTGTTTTGCCTATCCTTCAGACTCCCCTGTGCAGCACCACTGAAGTCCTCATTATGCCAAAGTTACCAGGAGACCTATATTAAAGAAGAGATAAGTGCTTTCCCTCCTCTTTCATTCTTCCTTGTCAGAGATGTCCCTAATCAGCATTAATCAGCTCTTCATCATTCAGAGTTTTTAGCAAAAGGCTCTTTCAGAAGTTTCTCAAATCATCTTCCTTTTTTAGAACGAGTCTGATTTGAGGAAACTCCTTGACACTCTTGCAGATAGATCTTTAGCACAACTGGCCTCCAGTTTACCAGACATGCTACACCTGTCTAAATTCCAATTCAGCTTAAAACTTGAAACTCCCTCATCCCCTTTCCCCCTCCTCCTTGCCCAGAGTTGAACAACTGGTACTTAAATGAATAATTTGGCTGCCTTTGACTTCCTGTGAGGTCAAATAGCTAGCAATAAGTGTTGTATTTTTGGTATCCCTTTAGATCAGTGGTTCTTAATAGGGCAGTTTTGTGCCACAGGGAACATTTAGCCATGCTTGGAGACTTTTTAAAAATTTTCATACTGGAAGAGGAAGTGCTACTTGTATCTGGTGAATAGAGAGCAGAGATTCTGCTAAGCACCCTACTATACACAGGACAATCCTCCCAACCCATACCCACTCACACACAATAATGAATTATATGGTGCAAAAGGTAAATATTGCTGAAGCTGAGAAACCTTATTTTGGAGTAGGGCCAGGGGCAAGACAGGCATAACACTCACTTACTCATATACTCCATGATATTTGAATTATTCAGAAAAACTGCAGTTAAATTATCATTCTTGATAATATATACAGTATTATGGTAATAATAATAATCATAGCTAAAGGTTACAAAACATTTTTATGTGCCAGGCATAAAATATTTATAGAGGGCCCATCTTGTAGGCCAGAAGTTGGCAAGTATTTTCTTTAATAGGCTACATAGTATATATTTTAGACTTTGTAGGACATGCTTTTTATTTGATTCCCACATTATAGGAAGTTACTGTTATTGACCTCACTTTACTTTTGAACAAAGATAAATTTCCAGAGGTGCAATGTAAGATCTTATTCTAACCGGAGGATCAGTAAATCAATAGTCATTCATTTGAGAGGGCCTTGTACTGGATGTTGATATTACAGAAACAAATGAGACTCAGCTCCATGCTGAGGGAAGTATGACAAATAAAGGGCTGCCAATTGCAGTTAAAATATCTGTAAGTCTGTACTAATGCTTACCAGGTACTATATGGCTGCAGGATACTTCCCTAATTTCCATTACAGTAGCATGAAATGTGTAGACTTTGTGGTCTCTTGATCTGACATTTTAACATTTATGTCCTTTTACCTGTGTGTATTGTGTTACTTTTCATGCTCAAAAGTCTCCTTAGGAAAGGTAATTGTGTATTAATTTGGTACAGAGCTTTCACACAACTAGCTTCCAATTACAGAGATTTTTATGATAACACTATCCATGTAGTGAGTGGAATTAAGGAGGATATAGGCGGCAAGAAGATATCCAGTGTTATTCTACTGAGTAGAATTTGGTGGTGGAATATCTGAGGTGGCTTCTTGGTAAAAAAAATTTTTTGATATGTGGGAAATCTGTCTATATGTCTAGCTGGAGTGTCAATCCTTCAGGAAAGAGAAAAATGCCCATAGGCAAGTTTCTTTCTTGGCATCACTGGTAATTAGATCAGGAAGAAGAGAAGTTAAGACAAAGTGGAGTAAGAGAGCATAGAGAGGACATGAGAGAAAGGGAAGAAGAAAGAGAGGAAATACAAAAAGAGAGGAGATAGGAGAGGAGGAAAAGGCAAGAAAGATGAAGAAAAAAGGAGTGGAAGCGGAAAAGAAGTACAGAAAAGGAATATGAAGGTGAAGAGAAGCGGTGATAAAAACAAAAAAGAAGGGTGGCTAAATGTGAGAAAGAAAATATAAATCCAATCTTTTGCAACCTAATCAGGTGCTTAGAGAAAAATACTAATTACTGTTAATATTCTCAGATGTTCACAGCTCCATGGAATAAGGTATTTTCTAATTTTACACAATTTTTATTGAATAAAATTGGTCTTGCCAAAATAATGTTCCAGGGAGAATGGTGAGAATGGCAGGATATTACCACAGCTTTTATATGTATCAGCATCCTTCCTTGCTGGAATAAACACGCATGGCTCAAACAAATAAATAAATAGTCCCCCAAACAGCTGCATTTTACTGGAATAGTTATGACAGTTTGAATTTCTTTCTTCCTTTCTCTCTCTATCTCTCTCTCTCTCTCTCTCTCTCTTTCAGTTTTTTAAATTTTAAATAATTGTTACCACCTTCAAATACATTTACTCCTTTCTCATTCGAAATCATTCAGAGCAAAATCCCTTCAGTGTTTCACACATATTTCATATAAGTCATAGTCCTCTCCTGAGGATGAAATGCCTAGGAAACTTGTTCTGTGGAATGAATGAGAAGGTGGGATTCTCATTTGGGTTCTTTATGATGCGTTTGCTCCATTTCTCATGATTTAATGTATATGGATCACCATTCATTACTGGTAGGAGAACATTAAAAACCATATTGTTTAACGTTAGTGTGCCCACTTCCCATGTACACACAATCTTTTATTTCACAGAGATAAGAATGGACTCATCTAGGCCTCCTGACTTTGGGCCAGTACCTTTTCCATGGCCGGCCCCATGTTCTTTCACTAATGGCAATATGAGCTATAAAAAATAGACAGTCTATTAGAGCTCAGACTAGAAATTTAGCCTGCTGAATGGACCCCAACTTCCTCCTGTTCTACCTTGCATTGGAAAACTAGGTTTATACTGCAGTAGATACCGTGGGAGAGAGATAGGTTAGGGAACCGAGGAAAACTTTATAGGGACTCTGCTGATTTCCAGCATGGTGTGGGAAGGGCTCAATATGAGATGTCCCATAGATAAAAAAGATGAAGTGGAGGAAAAGATGGGATGGTTCTGAGTATATGGAAGAGTCTTAGTATTTACTATATATGCTTTACCTATTTTATCTCATTCTGACTTTACATTGACCCTGCAATGTTAATTATTAAACTTATTTTTATAACTGAGGAAATTGAAGTTCAAAAAGTTAGAATGACCCCACCAAGGTTACAGGAGTGACAAAAGTGAAATTTGAACTCTAGTCTTTCTGACTTTAAAGACTTTCTTTCTACTTGCACCAATTTCCCAACAGCTACTTCTTACTATGTAAAGTGCTCATTTGTTTTACTTATCAGAAGTTAGATGAGATAATATAATAGGACCAAGGAATGTCAAAGCTGTAAAGGACCTAGAGAAAACCTACTTTCATGATTTTCCAATGTTCTCACCTCTAATAACCCTTTGGATCTAGTTT